TTTCTGGTCCGAAAGTGACAGATACAATAGGTCAGAACGACAGTGCCACAGACCTCTAGTTACTTCTATTCTGTTTCAAAGTGATTGCTCTTCATTCTTAAAAAAAAAACACAAACAGCCTTGACATTAACACCAGTGTTCTTTCAACGCTGCTCACCAACTCGCTATCTAATCACCTATCACACCTGGAAACGCCAACAAGTATTAATTCTCCTAAGCGGGTTTTGTAATACAACAGCTAATCCGCTTCGTGACGTCATACGAAAAATCCGAAATCTCTGCGTGGCAGGCTGGGAACTGCGCCTGAAGGGGAGCGGAACATCTGGATTGCCAGGCTGCAGTGCCCGAGCGCCTGATAAACTTTTACGATCGACTTCTTCCAGTTCTTGCGGGTCGGTGCGGGGGGGTTTTCTGAAATAGTCAGGTATTACAAGTGAAACTGTTTCTCGGAAATAAAAAAAGTTCTTCCTCACCACAATAGTTCGCCTAAATTGCAGTGCTTCTTAAAATGGATCAATCTGTCGCTATTCAAGAAACCCTGACCGAAGAGGAAAGCTGCATCATAGTATCCTTTGACAGTGTCGTTAAACTGCAGGACTGGAATGCAGTGCAGCATTCTATTGAGAAGCCGGGGCTGACGCAATCCCAAGGAGAAAGATGGTCGCCTTTTGATAGCGATATTGAATACTTGAAGCAGTTGACACTATTTAACAGAGGTTCCTTGAAAAGTTCTGTGTTAGGCCTCGTTGCTCAGCTGTTTGTCAGAATTGCTTGTCCGCTCTTGCAAAGCTATAACCGTACTTCAACCGTTGCGCTTTCAAACAAAATCGGGCGCAGGGAATCTGAGTTGCACATTTTGCCGTCACAGTAGGAACGTTTTGCAGACCAACAGCATGGTTTTCGCTATTTTGTTTTGTGAAGCAAACACGTTTAATTTAGTGGAAATGCCACTCAGAGCATGCTCAGAACGTTTGAGCACAGCACACTCACATAACGGTATACTGGAAACTATCCACGCGATGGCGATGTTACACAACTTCATTGCTTGTCGCCTGAGCGAGGATCACTCTAATGGGTGCTGTAATTTAGTCATTTGCATTTCTTCGCAAATTGCACGTACGAAATAAATATACTTTTAATCACCAAGGAACTGTATTGATTAGTCGGGTGTATTCCTTTATTCTAAAAGTTTCCCTTAACTGCGAAAATTAAAACATGCTGTCCAATGCCTTCTCATTATGGACAGCATCACAGAAAGCAGACTTCTGGGTTTGGTGGAACGTGGACAAGAACATGCGTGAGTCTCCAGCCATCCATTTTCGAATTGCTTCATCCAGTTCAGGGGTGTGGGGGAGACAGTTTAACCTGGCATGCAACAGGCACAAGTCCATCAGAGGGCAAACAAAGACACACGCATTCGCACCATGGCCAGTTTTTCCCAGAAGCTGATTCACTCAGCAGCATGTCTTTAGACTGTGGAAGGAAACTGGAGGACCAGGAGGAAATCCACAGGAACACTGGGAGAACATACAAGCTCCATGCAGATAGCACCCCAGGTCCAGCATTGAGCCCAGAGCCCCAGAGCTGCAATGCAGAGTTGCTAACCACTGTGCCAACGTGTCACCTGCATGCATGAAGCTTTTTTTTAACTGTAATTAAGGAACTCTGGCATAGTGCTTCTGTATTACAGCATGAAATTTTTCTCTGAGAAATATGAATTTTATTCCATGCTGGAGATAATGCAAAGAGCACCTAACATTGCCATTTATCACAGCTTACCAAATGAGGATATTTCTTAAGATTTTAGTGCAATTTACCTGTTTGTTTTCATCCCTTCAGGTTATTTTTATTCACTCACAGAAGAATGGCAATAACTGGTAATGATATTACATTGGACAAAGTAGTGCCTATTACTGAAGATTTTGTCATTGAAGAAGGTATGTTGTTCTTTTCAGAAAGTGCATGTATTTTTATTGCTTTTGGTTCACTTAACGTGGGCAGTCTTCCGTGTGGTCATTAGGTAAGTACAGGAGTTAGTGAATTTTGTTCCATTTTCTATATAATTGCTCGTACAACTTGTATTGGAATAACAAGTTATAAAAATAACAAATATCAAAGACATTGTGCAGATTTATTATAGTACACTAATACTATGCAAATATGTAAAGATTATATTGTGTCTCTGTCAACAATTTATTCTATTATTGAACTGAAGAAAAAAAAAAACAGCCTGCACTGCTAAGACAATAGAATGGAAAATCGTAATGGATCTGAGCTGTACTGCACTCCCAATTTAAAACATGGCAATGTCCTTGCTTCAGTAACGGATACTGACAGAGAGCATTACTCTAGCTCTGGTGTGCCAAAATACCTGATGCTGACATCAAATCCAGCTTACACTCACTGGTATTGACCTTGGAGTGAAATCTACTCTTCTCCACATTTTTATGAAACAGTTTCCATTTTTCTAATGCAGAAAAAGATACTTCTAAAGATCCATCCACCCAACCAACTTTTTTTTAACTGCTTTATCCAGTATAGGGTCACAGAAGACATTGGAGCCTATCACAGCAAGTAACAGGAGCAAGGCAGGATACACCCTGGACAGGACACCAGTCCATCTCAGGGCACACACCTGCACTGCCACAAACACAGACACTCACACCAGGGCCAGTTTTCCCAGAAGCCAATACAAATAACAACCCACTAAATCAACTAACCCATAGGCAAAATGACTTTGTATAATTCTGTTTTCTTGAACTCACTGTGGGATCTAACTTTTAAACTGGCAAAACAACTTACAAACTGTGGCCTTAGCAATGTGTTGGTACTGTATATAGACATCTAGTCGTGAGCTGCTTCCATATTTAAAGGTACACGAGTGTTGAGTGTTTCTGTTTTTCATCTTTACAGTGACTTCTCCGGATGAACTGGCCATAGTTGGTGAGTTATCAACACTGGTGTTTTTTAAGAACTTTGTGACTCGTACAAAGCAGTGGGCTCTCACATTCTGTCTGTCGTTTCCTCTTATTTAAACATTTAGACGTGCATGCTTTGAGCCTCTCGGTTAAAGGAGTTTGGAAACTGTTTTAGGCTCAGTTCTGACCATCTTCTCCACCCTCCCTAAGGCTCAGACACCACAGTAAGGGTTACACTACCAGGACTGGAGCTGAGGCTGAGGCTGCTCTTTGGCTCCCATTCTCGATTGTTTTTATACGAAGTGGACAAGGCCTGCCAAGGTAGGCCCTCCTTTTACTCGTTTCTTTTAAGGTGGTCTCTAATGTCAGTGGACAAAGGGCTTACGGGGTGCGGGACTCAGCTCGCTTGCGTATTTGTGTACAGTACGTGTGCTCATTCAGGAACTCATTCACTGCAAGGCAATATGTTTACCATATTCAGATTAGCTGTCTTGCTGATTTTCATCTGCAGTCCTGAGGCAGGTTATGATCGCTGCTATAATCCCTCAGTTCTCCCATAAAAAAAGCCAGCCTGACAAAAGCACAGTCAGGGAAAGATGGAGAGTAGTAATACTGTGCTTAGTAAAATGGTGGCAAATTAGTAAGAATAACTGATGGGAAGGGTATTTGTGCCAATACCAAACACTGAAGGATGAAAGAAGAACAGAGGCCATGGTTTCAACAACTTTGTGACCTAAGCTTTGTATTAAGGCCTTTTTAAAGGTGACCTGATCAGGCATTGTTCCACCTGGACCTCGTTGGGTAAAAGTGCACCTAACAACCCTTCATGTGATTGGCAAGTCACAATGCCTCACTGCACAAGCTGTTTTGCTGGTCAGGGGGCTTAAAACAAATCCACAACTTTTTGTGAAAGTAAATAAGCTATATCTATAGTATTCTCATTCCAGAAAATGTTGCATTTCTTTTTTTCATCAGTATATATGCTTTATTTCATTTATTGAATTGGAGAAAACTGCATTTGTGTGCTCACAAACTAGGAAACTAGGCTATATTTTAAGTTGGTTTTTTATATATTATTTACAATGCAAAGAAAAATTCAATTAACGTAATTTAATATTTATTTAACAGAATAAATGGAACCTGTTGGGGGACATTCTTTACACATCAGAATGGAATTTTATAGGAAGGGCAAATGGTTACCTTGGTGTTTGCTCCCTGTTCTTTAAACAAGAATTTTCATTGCAAAGTGGCCTTTCATTTTTAATGTTTCTAATATTTCAGAGTATGATTCGGGTACTGTGTTATTTCTATCAAACTGGAGTGTCTGAACTGTGAGCATTATGTATTAAAGTAAAAGCAGACACTCACTCAGGTAAATTAATTATATAATAACAGCAGTATTCAGAAAAAAAAAACACTTTTCCTGAGGTACTTCATGCCCTTTGAACTGTGTAAAACATCTATTGAGTATTCTATGAACAATAAACGTTAACTATTGCAGGTCAGCAAAGATAACAAGAAACAACTGTGTAACAACTACATGAAAGAGTTAAAGGGCATACTTATTGCTTGTACTGTTTGTTACTCCTCTTATAAACACCCTAATCTTCTGGACCCAGAACAACCATATTGATTCATAACTGAAGGAATGAGGAAACAGCTTGTTTGAATTCTTGCAAATTGTCTCATTTACTCATGTCAAGTACCTGCTTAACAAGTTATACTGTATGTTCATTTACAGCACACACCACGTACTGTAAAGTGTTGTATACATATCAGAAAACTGGTGAAACATCATATATATTGAAATATATTATGAAATATGGATATAGTAAATTACCTGTAACAGTTCTTTGGTGGAATGGCATTTATTACTAAATCCACTATTATATACAGTAATGGAAACTATGCTTAAGATCTTGGCTGGGAACACAACACATGTTCAGTTTTAAACTTCTGGTCTGAATCAAGCTGACAACCCATTTTAGTGCAAAATATAGTTTTTTTACTGGTGCAACGGAGGTTTATTGGTGAGGAGACCACAGCAGTCAAACTGCAGTGAAACTGAAGAGAACGGACCAGAGAGGAAAGAGGAGAGAGAGGGGGTGGAGTTTTGATTGAAGCTCTTTCTGTTAGCTGCTGAAATACTTTGTAGAACACAGAAAATGTACAGTTTACAGTTATGTTCTTTATAGTAGAGCTTCAGCTTATGGTTTTAGCTCCGATGTAGCTTATGTTTTCTTACCATTTGTTGGTGGAATAAGCCTGAGGAATCTGCTGCTGAGAAGAGCACAAAGAGAGGGTTGTATCAACAATGTGTTATTTATGACATTGGTACACTATTTTAGACAGTGGTGTACAACTGCACAACTCCTTAAGAAGGTTCCAAGGTAAAGCCTTAAGGTTTTCTTCAACATTTCCTCGATGGTATTCCTAATGGACTCCCACAACAAGGATATTGCTTCAGAAAGTGTGAGCAACAAGACGAATATCAAAAATGCACAGGGTAAGGTTAAGACTTGAACGGCAGGCATTCGTCATTGTGGTCAACTTGAAAAGGCAGGCCACTTTTTAAATGTGGTTTTGCTACTTAGTATTCAAAACAACATATCTACTAGTAAGGGGAAGTCAATGCTGAGTTTTAAAGTTATGAGCTGGCATTTTTGCAGTATACTGAGTATGAGTGTGTATGTGTGCTTGGGTTGTATAAAAGCATAGAGATTGATTACAGCTGTTCTGATATGGCTTCAGAACAGCTGGAGAGCAGGACAATGATCAACATGGTTAAAAGGCGATTTGTTCTGAAGGTTTTTTTTTAAATAAAGGGAACTAAAAAATAATAACATGAAGAGCATAAAAAGGTTACAAGCAAAAGTAGATTTGACTGGTAGCGCCAAAGATTTCATCTAATGATCTTTTGAAAAATCACAGGCAATGAATAATTAATTCAAAATACATTTTTTTTTAAAGTACATGTATCCTTTTTATTATCGACTAGACATCAACATGTAGTGTACTCAGGAAAATTAAATGTACCAGACGTTTACCATGGTGCTGCTAGTGTGTATCGACACAACCATTGCCCAATCTTCTGTGAGGCCTGTAGCCTTCACTTTCATTTAGTGTTTCTCAAGAAAATATTACAGTAGTCAGTAGTGCAATAGCTGCATTTTGTAAACTAGTACGCAGAGGAAAGTATAACAGTTTTTTTTCAAAGGCATACCTAATGCATATTATTTTATATATCATATAAAACTAGGTACATTTATTATTTTTATTATTATTATTATTATTATTATTATTATTATTATTATTATTATTATTATTATTATTATTATTATTATTATTGTCAGGTGTCCAAATTGTTTAGTATTCTTATTCCTCTGTGTTTGTGTTTGTTTTATTAGGTTTATGTTATCTACACTATATAGCCAGATAGAATTCTGATGTAGATAGTAGGATTTAACAGAGGTCAATATAGGGAGGTTTCCTTCGTGAGCAGAGGATGTGTGTCAATGTGTACAATGCATTAGATGTGTGTCAATGTGTGTACATAATGTACATAACAATGTTACCTATTTAATTCTGCTGTTCACAGAAGAAAAAAAAACTGCTTCTGAGAATTGCTTTTCTTTTCCTCCAAAAAAGTTTGTAAGCAGTCATCCACAGAGACTCCTAAATCCCAGTTTGTGTGGCTGTCAAAATACTGCAGATCATCTAAGACTGACAATCCTCCCGGAAAGGAACAGGCTATCCAGACCTCAGCACAAAAAGGAATTAATTTCTCTAAAATTGGACCAGTGAAGAAATCAGGCAAGTAGAATGCTTGTTTTATTATCTGTAAATAATACTTTACTTACAGTAACTACAGACCTTGGAGTACTTCAGTCTCAAGGAGCTATTAATCACAAACAGAATTTATGCATATTTTAATATAAAGAGCCTTTATTAGGTATGTGCTTTTGTAGTTATTGATCTCAACACTCATGTTTGCCAAGCTCTTGCCTATAAGCACTGAAGATACTGTATTTGTTAATTGTTTGGACATCAGAATGTCTTCTGGGTGTGTGGAATTCATGAGGCAGGCGTTAAATGATAGAAAATATCACAAGAGGCGTGTGGAATTCCACTTTGAGCATCTCAACAACAGTTCATTATGATAAACCATGATTTTTTGTATTTCTTTTATTTTGTAGCATTATGTGTGTTAGCATCTGACTTCAGATGTTTCAGCCTCCTACTGCTGTATGTTTTCTGCTTGTAAATGATGAATTTACAGTATACAGTTTATACTTTAAACTGCAGTTTCCAGAGCTTAGTAAACCTAAAAAGGTTCATATTCTTATACATATTCAGCTGGTACCTGTTTAATGAAAGAAAGCTATTTTCCAGATCACTGTATTAAGACGTCAAACAGACTTTTAATATTTTTTATTTGGAATACATACAATATTGTATTCTATCTCTGTGATGAGCTGTAACAGCTAATTCTTCTTCATATACAGTGCAAATATGTACTGTATTTTCACATTAGAGAGACAGTCCCACTCACACCACTTCCAGCAGTAACCTTTCACAAGAAGTCTGCCAACCAGGTACTGATCAGGCTCACACCTGCTTAGCTTCAGTGGGCAGACAGTTGTGAGCTGTAGAGTGATATACTGTAGCTACTGGCAATAAACTTATAAACTTGAGGACTAAATAACCGTACATGCAGTGCAGTTTGACCATGTTCTGCATTTATAACATTATTGAATATCTTTGGAGATGATGCCAATAGCTTTATGTCCGAGACTGCCTTTTATTGGTATTATTGCGTGTGCTATGGATCAGGAAGACGGAAAGGACCAGCAGAATACATTAAGATCCAGAAGGGTGAGGCAGGTTAAAATACCCACAAAACAGGCGTTGAAAAGTAGCTGATGCAGACTGGGGTTTATAAGAGAAGCCGCAGAAATGATCGGATGACACGCACACACTGAGCACAGACTCTCGCCTGTGCACCGGGTTGCCATAGGTAAGGGAACGCGTTCTCGTGGGGAGTTCATCATGCATCCCGAGCCGGGGTTTGATTGGTCTGGTCTGTTTGAGCTTCATTTAGTCGCGCAACAAGAGAAAGAAAAAAAAAATCTTTGCATACGAGGAAATGGTCTTCGGAGCTTTACGTATAATGCAAGTGAGGGAGCTGGGCAATGTCTCATGCGATCAAGCAATCTGGTAAATAACCATTATGCTTTATTTGTTAGTTGACTTGTTGGTTTCACGGATTGTTTTTGAACAGCGTGCCTAGGGGAAAGTTCACTCTTGTCTGCACACCCTTTGGTCGTCGTAGGTGAGTAAAAAAGGTGCTGTAGTACGCCGCAGGAGACTGTAAATATAGGTGTTTCGTTTTCATATATGGCATTAATTTGTTTCAAGAGCGCTTTCAGAATTCACTCAGCATTTTCTGCTCTTGACACTGTTAACTGCTTACCTGCCTCTTAAGGGAATGATAGAAATATGAAGTTTTTCACGTTGCTGTGTACAGTACAGTACAGTACAGTCCAGTCCAGTCAGTGCAAGCTGTTTTGATATAAAATACCTAAGAGCATTAGAAAGGTGACAAAGGAGAACAGACGCATCTGGCCACTAGACTCTTTCGGTTTTTGTTTTTAATAGCTAATTGATCCGAGGAAGTCATCCAGCTGTTCAACAACAGGGCAGGATAGCATGTTCCAGATCCCCCACAACCTTTTGAGTTACGAACTGTCTGCTTGTGTCTTTTCGGCCTTTTGTGTCTATTTTGATTTCGAAGAAGTTTAAAATGTTGACTGTAAGGTCTTTTAGCATTTTGAAGACTTATTTTTCCTTCCCCTGTAGTCTCTGTTCTTTTAGCCTGTCAGAAGAGAACCTTCAGATTCTACCTATGCTAGTTTGCTTTCAAATGTTAGTATTTGAATACCGTACAATTATCTTACCTGTTGGTAAATTATGTTGCTATGGTCTTACTTTGGTAAAGTACAAGATGGTAGATATAACTTCGGCCTTGTACATCAGATTTAATCAGCATCCCTTGCTTTACTGTGATATTTATAATTAATATTTAATTCCTCAGGAATTCTTTAATTATATCACGGTCCACCATGGAGTTCTGAAAATCAGCTGTTTAGGAATAACTTATTTTTTCCCTTTTATCTTACAATTAGTCTTGCAGAGACAAGTAATACATCATTGCATTTCTCCTGCCAGAAAACCTGACACTATATCATACGCAAGATACAGATTAATTATGTTGTCTTCTACTGTAAAGTGCCTCACTGGGCTGAGTCAGCCCAGAAACTGCAAGTCAGCAGGTAATCTGTATTACAAAGTGTCTGGAGAAGTGTTTCAGAACCAGCTTAACTATTCTGATTGGGCTATCTGTTATACACAAAAAAAATTCAATTGACCTTGATTTAATATTTTCATCTCCTGTAAGATGAACATACACTGTATACAGTACAGTACATAAAAAGGTGAAGTCCATTCCAGAGCCACTTTTTTTTTATAACATCACTTTATTAACCCTTTACAATTTCTTGCATTAGGGATGATCTTTTCACAGACCCCAGCTTGCTGTCCATGAGACACACAGACAGGGAGAGAGCCTGGGGTCAGAGCGCAGGGTCAGCCATTGTACAGCACCTCTGGAGCAGCTGGGGTTCAGGGCCTTGCTCAGGGGCCCAACGGAGTAGGATTCCTCTGCCGGCTGCGGGATTTGAACCAGCAACCTTCTAGCCACAGGCACAGATCCTTAGCCACAGAGCCACCGCATCGCCCCTTCCAGAGCCATAGCATCTCAATGGGCCAGACCTCATCCTGGTTTCTATAGCGATAAATGGACTGAGGAGCACATGACTCCACCCCTGGATGGGACGCTGGTCCATGGCGGGTATCACCCCACAGCAATGCTGATCCCCACTCTCACAGCTGGGAGGACTTAACGGTGTTATAGTACCTCTCTCAAAGCACACCAGCTGTGTCTGCAGTGGGGACTTGAACCCATAACCTGTCAGTTAGGCGTCCAATGCCTTACCCTGTGCACTGCACCACCCCCATACAGTACATATATTCATATATATTTAAATACGGATGTAAATACCCATTTACCTATTGTCACAGTGCCAATAAACAAATAAAAGAGAGTGCCACAATTGTCCTTAAGCTTGGCCTCGAGTAACTGAAGCATAAAGTCATCCACTAAACTGGCAATCTAATTGAGAAGAACTCCTAGTGCAATAATATTTTTGGTATAACAAAAAGGCTGATAATTACAGAGACTTTTTTAATTAAAAAACAATATAAATAGGTCCATTTCTGGCTTTTCGGTTTTACAGCAGGAACATAGTTTTATTCTTTTCTACTTTTCTTTTCACGGAGAATCGGTATCTTTGTTTCCGGAAAAGTTACCACCCGACTGCACTGAAAAGATGGGCTGAATAACTTTTCCGGTTGGAAGTTGGGGTAAAAAGAATAAGTGCCCGTTCTAATCATTTTTGTTCGTAAGAAGAACGGTCATCTTTGGCTTGAACATACTGTAGCAGCGGTATAAAATCTGAAGCAGATTATCAGAAGTGTTAGTGGGGTGTTTATTGGTTTAGAAAGGGGTGGGGATCCATAGAGAGCTAGACTGGTCATGATGATCTTTTGGATTTAATCTACAGGTTTTAAGTGACATATTCTGAAGTTCAAGGGGAAAAAAAATTCTGAGCTTCCTTAAACCAGTCTTCTCACTGGTATTAATAGAGTATCTTTTCAGCCCATCTACATGGGACTGTAAATTTAAATTTAAATACTTTAAATTGCAGCGATTTGTAGAAGTGGTCCAGCTTGTGTATATCAGCATGAAGCCCACATGATGTCTCTGCAGTTGCCTTAATTAAAGTCAGTGTGACTCCCACATGCAAAGATGTTCAACAAAAATGAAACATCTGTACCAATGAACTAAAGTACAAAGTGGTGTGGTTTTTACATTTGTGCTAAAGACCTGTGGCCTGCACCTGAGCTTTGGAAACTGGATTAAAAAAAACTTAGTCAGGTACTGTATATTGTGTTTTACTGATGAAAGTGCTTGCTTCTTAACAACGTACCAAACCGTTGATTTTGACACAGCTAATGTTTTGGCTATGTCTCTGATTGATTTATTCTGATTTTTCAGCCTCACGATGGCCCGCTTTAATGGCATTAACACTTCCTTGGTCCTCATGTTGAGAGACAACAGCAACAGACTCCAGATGTAAATGCCACTTCTAGAATCAACTCTAGACCTTTTGTTAGCTCCCTTGTGCATGAACTAATGATGCAGCAACAACTGGCGATAAAGGGCTGTGATCCGTATATGGTTCACCCAATATAGACGTAAATACCCCCTGATTAAAGCTGACTATTGCACTTTAACCTCACAGTCATTGTTTTATTTCAAATCCAATGTGCTGGAGTACAGAGCCACAACAACAAAAATTGTGTCACTGTCCAAATACTTATGGACTGCACTGTATAAACCTTTAAGGAGGTGAAAAACTATTTTTACTCTGCTGGGGAGTGAGTTTGTATTCTTTGCATTGCACTATTACAGAATTGTGCTGCAACCAGTCCACTGATATTTGGTCATTAGTAGATTTAATTCAGTTTAGCAATTCATGTTCTGGCTGTGTGAAAGGGTCCTGCTCAGCTGTGTGTGTCATATTAGCATCAGTCTCACAGTGATTAAGTTCTCAGCTATCTGTTTAGGGTCACTATGTACAGTATTATATAATTGTACAGATGACCTTTCTATGGAAACAATAATGGGAAAA